CTGCTGCGCTTCTGTGTGCGTGGCGGCTGCGGCTGCGACGGGGACTGCTGTACAATCAACTGAGTTGTATTCCGGTACCTCTGCCGTGAACGTGTCGGTGGAGGTCTCGTGTGCGGACAGTGAGAATAAGTTGCAATGGCGCTTTCCCGGCCAGATAAAATGGAATAAGTGTGCGCTCCCACAGGGCGCTCATGACTACACTGTTGATAAGGAGAGTGGTGGAGGCTACACTGTTGATGAGATCGCTGTAAGCTATTATGTTGATGAGGAAGGCACTGAAGAACGCACTGTAATTGTTACGTCTGACGAAGTTGGTGTTCTTTTTGATACGGTAATTGAGGATCCCGGCCGTGTCGGTGAGTTACTGTGCCTCTCGGCCGAACAGATGTACTCGGCTGCAAAATGTAATGAATCCTGCACTTCATCTGATTCGGATAAAACCGCGTTTACGATGGAATTTCCGACGAATAACGAAAGTGGTGTGTACAAGGAGTGGGAAAAAAACAAAAGAACTAATCCTCCGAAAGACTCTGCGGTTAGCACCTCAGGCGTCTGTCCGTTAAAAACTCCTGCTGAAAGGACACCTGTGAAGGCTAACGGTGGATCTCCAGAGGCCGCTGCAGCAACGTCGGCAGCACAAGTGACAGCAGTGGAGGCACCCGCAGCGGGGCAGGCTGCAGGCAGTTCGAGTTCAGCTGCGAGTGGGGCCTCATCATCGGCACAGACTATTGAGCAGAGGATATCCCCAGCGGACCCACAAGCCGGTAACACTTCGCAGCTGCCAACAGGCGAGGGGGTTGGCAGAACGGATGCATCCGGGACGACGCAAACACCCTCAGCCACTCCCGCCAGCGGCAATGGTGGGGCCTCCGGTGCAGCCACGGCCGGTGCTGCCTCACAGTCCGGTAAACCGACATATACGAAGGAGGCCAACAACAGTGCCACCACTGGAGCGCAGGGTCCCGGCACGTCGGACAGCAGCGCCATCGCCACTGCGTGGGTGCACACACCACTGCTGCTGCTGACCGCCCTTGCATGTGCCGCTGGGCAGCGGTGCGGAGCAGCCACACACGAATGATGAAAGGTGCGACTCGTCCCCTGTATGTGTGTGTCTATTCTGCCTGACGCCCTGTGGGCAAATCCTCCACCTCAATTTAGGAAGTGTTTTTGCTATGTCTTTTTTCCACTGTCTGGTTGCTGTACACCGTCGTGGATGACGAGTTCCTTCTTTTGTTTGCTTCTGCCACCCACACGCGGTGCCGGCCTCGCTGCTGTGCGTCCCACGGACTGCACAAACGAGGAGTGGAGGAGCGGGCCGGATGCCGCATGGGATGTGAGGGTTGTTGTGTGGGCTGGTGGAGGAATGCGATCTTTTCTCATGCTTCATCACTTATTTGTGTGCGGGCAATGTACGCCCACACCCATTCCCCTGTGTTTTTGGGACACGTGAAATGAAAACTTTTGCTGAGAGATGTTTCTTTTCCTTTTTTTTTCGCCCCTCGGGAGTTCTTCTGGACTCTCAACTTTCTTTTGTTTTCTTTTTAAATTTCTCGTTGCTTTTTCTATATATTGTATTGCTTTTTTCTTGCAAATCATTTCTCTTCTTTTGCTTGTTGCTTTAGGGCAACCACTATGGACGGTTTTTTCTCTTCCCCTTTGTAATTGTTTCCTGCTGCGCTCTTCCTGTGAGGGGTGCCGTGTGTTTCCCGCCCAACTGCTCCACTCGCACACCCACCGACACGCTCATGACGACGGCCCTGTGCGCCTCGCCTGCTGCACGCATGAGGAGGGGCCGCGACGTGTGTACGTGCGACGAGGGCCGGTGGGGCGGAGCACACATTTCTTTCCCTCCTGTTTTGTTTTCCTTGCGGCCAGGGCGGGCAGACACCCGCAGCGCCACACACACACACACAGCCACGCCCTGCCGCTCTTTAAATGAATTCTTTCGTGCTTTGCGTGTTTATTTTACGCGCCGGCATTTCCTTCGTGGCCTGTCTTGCGAGCATTTCTTTCCCCCCGATGTTTTGTTTTCTTTTGCTGCGCTCACTCTCCCGATGGAGAGACGCGACTGCCGTCATGTTTTTTCATGCTTCTCTCGCCCCCCACACACACAAGAAGAGTGACTGTGCGCTGCGGGCCGCCCTCACGCGCCGATGAAAGGGCTGAGGGGAGCAGCAACGCGCAGATGACGCCATGAAATGTAAACGATGTGCGGGCACACAGAGGGTCAGACACCCGAAAGAAATGTAAATATACTTTTAATTTTCTTTTGTGGGCAAAATATATGCAGACAGTTTGGTGGGGCCACACGGCAGCCAGGCGAATTTTCTTACTTTTAAATTTGTGTGGAACAGTGATGGACGGTTTCTTTTCTAATATAATTATTTTGTGCGGTGGAGTTTGTATGGGATGAAGGGGGAGCGTTTGATTGGTTTTAAATAAATTTTGTCTGGGTTGCCACTGCTTGGGCTGCAGTGCAGTCATGAGTTTGAGCGGTCTTCTTGTTGTTGTTGTTTCCGCCATGCACCTCCGCTGTACATTTTGGTGCGTCTCTCCGCATACTCCGCTCCCTTTTTTCTAATATTTTGCTTTGTGCTTCTGCGGGCACACACAACCACACACGCACACAAGATGCACATTGCAGTGGGTTTGAATGCTTCTTTTGTGGTGCATGCTGGCAGCTGCGTGTGGCGGCTGTTTTCCTCTTCCGTGGCCGTAAGGAGAAGGGAGGAGGGAGGGAGTGCGCAGCCCGAGTCTCCTTTTCCGCGGGTGTGGTGCACCGCGTGTGACCGCATGGAGTGAGGCGCGGCATCCCGTTGAGGGCGGGATGGCAGTGTAAATTCATGTCGCCGCGCCATTAATGGCTGAGGGTTTGCTTGCGCCGTGTGTGTTGTGTGGTGGCCGTGGGGCTTTCGGCCACTTCCTTGGGGTTGTGGAAATGAGCGGGGGGAGATGGTGGTGGGTGCCGTCTCGTGGTGTGTGAACTGTGCTGCTTGGCCTGCTGCCCTCTCTTCATTTTGTCTGCTCTCTCTCGCTGTATCCGCCGTGCTCTGTTTCTCTCCCTCTTGTTCCGTTCTTTTTCTTCTGTCCCACAGATCAGCTGACTGACTCCAGCGACTCCACTACGGGTGACGGTGCGGCGCCGTGTTGTTCCTTGGGCTCTTGTGCCGCTGCTTCTCGTCCGTGTGCGTTACGGCGGCTGGGATTCCTGGACATGTATCTGGTGATGCGGATACGGTGGTTGTGGCAGTGGATGTGTCGTGTGCTCCGAGTGACGGCAGCCTGAGCTATCGCGTGCGTGGGGGTGTGTGTGGGCGTGGACGAAGTCTTCTGCTGCCGGTGCTGAGGCTCAGCATGAGAATTGTACTTTCAGTGGCTTTGATGTGCGCATGCATAGTAGAAATGGTGCGCTGGGTGCTGTGTTTCATGTGGCCAATGCGGTGCACACATCTAACAACTGTGCTGCCAGCTGTGCAACGAAAGGGGAAGGGGCCACCGTTGCCTTCACGATGAATGTGACGACACATAAATACGCCGGCCCTTATGAATTGTGGTGGCGTCAATTTTCTTCCGACGGAACTATTCCTGTGCTTGCACGGAGCAGCGATGCTGACCAGACGGGCATCTGTCAGTTGCCGCCACCCCGTGAAGGGAAGGATGAGAGAAAATCTGGTGAGACAACTGCGCCGCAAGTCAGTGCCGAGCCGTCACGTCAAAACGAGGATTGGCGACAGTCTGCCGCGGCTTACGCACCCAACACCGTCGATCCGAGTCCCGCATCCAACACTGCGACCGACACGTCTAGGAAAAAGCCTCGCATTGCAACCGATCCGAAAGAAAACGTGGCTCCAACACCACCCAAGAGGAAGCCTAGCATTGCCATGAGTCGGAACATAGAAATGGATCCGAATGCATTCGTGACGAAGACTGCACCCCGCCACCGCGTTGAGGATGTCAGTGGGCTCGAGGGATGCCCGTAAGAGTGGAGCCGTTGACGGCAGCGGCGAGCACGTTCCTGGGAAATTGCGGGAGGAATGAATGGTCACAACGTCCCCGGAACACCAAAACGGCATCAAGAAATGTGACCCTGCGCGATCTGGAGCGGCGTGAGTCCAGACGGCCGCCTCGCCCTGTTTGACGACGTGAATTTGATACCACGCGATTCAACTGGCGACCGCACTGCGCGTGTGTGCGTGTCTCGGGCGTTGCTGCTGCTGCTGCTGGAACTGTGTGGGGTTGTGGTAGTCCTTCGAGCGAAAGAGGGTGGAATTGTGACTCCCCACGGGGGATATTTGCCGCATACTTTGCGGTTTTCATGTCACTGTTTTTTCTGTTCTTTTTTAATGATTTGCAGATCGCTTTTTAAACCTTTTTTCTTTTTTGTTACTGTTTTTCCCTTTTTTCTTCTTTGTAAAGTTCTTTTTGATGCTTTTTCCTCTGGAGTGATAAGTACCCTTTTTTTCTCCTCATTATTTAATGTTCGGTTGATGTGCACTGGAATGGGCGAAGTGCTTCCCTCTCTTTTGTGTTTCTTTTTTGTTGTTGCCCACACGCGGTGCCGGCTCCGCTGCCGTGCGTCCCACGGACTGCAGGAACGGGGATTGGAGGAAGAGGCCGGATGCCGCATGAAATGTGAGGGATGTTGTGTGGGCTCGTGAAGCAGTACAATCAGTTTTTATTTTTATTTTAATTTCTTTTTCTTGGTGCAGGCAATATGTACAGAAGCACAAGGTCGTTTTATTGTGCTGCTTAGCGCATGAAATAAAAATTCTGCCGAATGAATTTTCTTCATTGTTTCCGGGAGCCCTGCCGGACACTCATTGTTTTTTGTGTTTTTTCCTGCTTTTTTTAGCTTTCTGTTTGCGGGGCGGTGTGCGAGTTCTGCAGTCGTACCAATTCCAACTGCCTCATTGTGTGTTTGTTGCTGCTGCTATCATTTGTTACTGTGCGGTGGCGGGGTATTAGTTTGTGCTGAAGGCTACTCGCAAGTGACAGGAGTGATGATGGCGATGATGTTGACTGGCCGTGTGCTGCTGGTGTGTGCCCTCTGCGTGCTGTGGTGCGGTGCCGGCGGTGTTTATGCGAGGGACCTCGACAACAAGGCACTGGGTGGCTGTGTGGCGTCGGGAGTGTTGGGTATGAATACATCGTATGTGCCGAACGGATGTAATAAATACATGCCGATGCCGCCTTTGCGGTCAGCACTGCCTATCCCTGCCATACAAGCCGAAGTTGAGCAGGTAAGTGTTACTACTCAGGATGGGACCAATTCAACCTCAGACACTGCTCCAGAATCTGGTTCTGGAGTTGGAAGCGGAGGTTCTCCGGGCCCTACTGCTCCTGCTGCTGGTCCAAATGTTGTTCCAGGTGCTGGTGGTCCTGCTGTTTCAGGTGCTGCTGGTCCTGCTCCTCCTGCTCCTGGTGGCGTTCCTGGTCCTACTGGTCCTGCCGGTGTTACTGGTGGTCCTGGTGGTAATACTGGTTCTTCCGGTGCCACGGATGTTCTTGGTGCCGCGGTTTCTTCTGATGGTCCTTCTTCTTTTCCTGCTGCTAATTCTAATGCTGTTTCTCTTGGTCTTCCTGCTGGTTCAGAAAAAAGTAATGCGGGTTGCGGAGAGGAGGCGTCGGATTGCGGAAGTCAAGAAAAGTTGGAAAAGTCAAAAGTGGAAAATCAGGAATTGGAGGAATCCAAAACACAAAAACCTCCAGCGACACAAAATACGAAATCAAAAGACAATGAGGAGAACTCAACGGAAGCATCAAGTACGGAATTGCAGAATACGGAAACCCAACAAGAAATAAAACCGCCAGTAGATGAGAATGACACTACGAGCACCGATGCATCCACAGCGGTTGCCGCACAGAGTACATCGGCCGGCAGTCAAGAAGAAGCAACTGAGTCATCCTCCGATGGCAGTCATTCTCCACTTCAGGGGGAAGTATTCACTGGAACGGACACTCCCGAGAATGCTCCATCTCCGGCTGCCGCGGAAGCAGAAAAACGCCAAGGAGAAAATGTGACGAAAGATGGCGACAGCGACAGCAGCACCGCGGTCTTCCACAGCACCTCCCCTCTTTTGCTTCTTGTTGCTTGTGCGGCTGCTGCTGTGGTGGTGGCCGCGTGAGAGTGAGTGAGAGAGAGCCATGCACCGCCCGCACACACACCCGTCTTTCACTCACTCTCTGTGTGTGTCCCCTTGCATGGACTCTCGCCCTCACCTCATCCCACGAAGCACACACATAATGTGCCCATTGTATATATTGCATGCACACCCATGCAGGCCCGTTGGTGCTCTCTTTTGTACCACACGCACCGCTGCCGTCCTGCCTGGCTGCATGGGCGGAGCACCGTAACTGTTTCTGTTTTCTTTTTATTGCATTGAGTGGGCGACCTCTCTCTCTCTCTCTCCCTGTGTGTGTGTTTTGCTTTACGGGAGCAATGAGAGTGTGTGCGCTGGTCGTCCCACGCTTCGGCTTTTTGTTTTGTTTTTCATTGTTTTGTGGTTGAGAGCACCCATTCCGCGGGCTGCGTGTGTGTGTTTGTGTGTGATGATATGAGTGATTTGTGTGTGTGCTATCCGCTTCTTTTTTGCTGTTGTTTTCTTTGGATTCCCTTGTGCCGCACAGCTGCTTCGCAAGTATAGGCGCTGACGAGCACACAAGCACATGCGCAGACACGCACACCATGTGGCACACGCTGTGTAGCGGCGTAAACGCTGAGGACGCACGCACGCTGCGGACGGTCACGGCGGACACTATGGGCCCCTGTGTGTTGGCGCTTGTGGTTGCCTTTGGCCACGCTCACATCCACAGTGTTGGAAACGGCCGGTGTGTTCGTGGGCCGGTGGAGAGATCAGCGGCGGACACGGTGACTTCCACGCCGTGGGCTCACAGTAACCTTTTGGACAGTGGCGGTGCGGAAGAAACGGTCATGATAATTGCAACGCCGTCACGCTTGTTTTCGAGCATCCCGAGAGAAACAGTAAAAACATATTTGCACGCATGAGTCTTTCCATTCCCGCTTCAGGGCTGCCCATCGTAATGAGGTTGCCGTGCGGTGGCGTCACCCCTATGAGCTGTTGGGATAGAAAGGGAGAGCGCTGTGCAAGTGGTGGCTGTTGCGTGGCCGGTCAGACAAATACTGCGACACCACGATGAGAGCAGACCAAACACTCCGCGTGTAGGGAGCGTTGCGGCCGATGAGGAATGCGTGCGACGGTGAAGGACGTTCCCTCGACGACGGATTGACGGTTTTTCCCTTTGATGGAGTCGGTGCGCACGCGGTGCGTGTGGCTGCCTCTGTGGTCTCCTGTTGCTCCGCTGCTTGTGCCGCATCCTGACGCATCACTGGCACTAAACTGCTTTCTTATTCTCCTCCCTCTTTTTTCTTTGCTTCTCTCCTCCCACAGCCAGGCTGCACTGCTGCTGCTGCTGCTGCTGCTACTCACACGAAGCAAAGAAATGCAATTTGCTCAGGCCATGCGCCAGCCACGCCACGCCGCTTCTCCCATTGGTGGTGTTGCTGCTGGTGTACAGCGCCAGTCGGTGTATTGCCGCTGCTGCTCCTGCCACACAATACCGCTGTGGGTTTGACGCGATGATGAGGAGGAGCGGCTTGCTGCCGACTGCGGTGGTGCGTGAGGTGCCGCGCAAGGCACAGGGCGCGATGCAGACGTACACCGTCGACACACAGGATGACGACAGTGACTGGAGGCCGATCCGCATCAAGGTGTTCACGGGGGATCTGGAGAGCACTAAAGCATGGAAGAAGATGTTCTGCGAAAAGGCTGGGGAAACATGCGAAACTGTCTTGGGGGAAAGGTAAGCTGTGAAGCAGGGCATGTATTTTCGCAGGAAAAGAAACAACTGTACACTCAAAAGATTATCCCCGGTGCTGTCAAACTGCACGCTGAGCGGCTAATTGTGAAACCCACTGCTGATAAAATAGAGTTTCCGAGGGGTCTGAATGAACCGTGTAACCACTTTAATTCTTTTAGTGAGCACATAAGAGACGGTGTGTCTGATGCTGACTTTATCATCTACGCCGCTGCTAGGCCATCAAGTGCTGAGAGCAGGGCTGTTTGGGTGGCCACATGTATCACATGGGGTGATTCTCGTCCCTCTATTGGCGCCATGAACTTTGATCCAAAGTACATGACTGACACGGCGTGGAGCGTTCGCGTTGCTGCACACGAGCTTGCACATGCTCTTGGGTTTAGCCAAGAGAAAATGGAAGAAAAGAGCATATTGAACTCTGAATACATTGTGCGTGGGATGCGGCGTAAGGTGGTGGCGGGGAATCACGTTAAGGCGAAGACGCGAGCCCACTTTGGTTGTAACTCTCTCGAGGGAATGGAGCTGGAGGACGAAGATGGTGCATCGGCAAGAAGGATCCCTCACTGGAAGGAACGCCACGCGCGGGACGAGCTGATGGCTCCCACAGTCGGTGCCGGCTAATACACGGATCTGACGATGGCGGTGCTCGCGGATATGGGATACTACCGCGTGAATTGGAGCATGGCGGAGCCGATGAGCTGGGGCCACCGCAGTGGCTGCAACTTCCTGGAGAAGAATTGCAGTGAAACCCAAAGACTCGCCAGCACTTATCCTCACATGTTCTGCGATACTAATGACGATGAGACACTTCGCTGCACCTCTGACCGCCGTCACGTCGGGACGTGCACCGCAAACATCGCTGAAAACAAGGGGAATCCTGCGGATAAGGACGTTTGCCCTGTTGTTTCTTTGTACTTTAACGAAACATCGTCTGGGACAAGGCACAATGCGTGCTCGGACGTGACTGTGACTTCTCTCCCTGGGTCGCTGACTGGCGGTGGCTCGTGGTGCCTGGACGCGGAATTACTGGAGACGAATGTTAACCGTGAAAATAAAAGCGTCAAGGGAGTGTGCGCGCAGGTGTCGTGTGAGGGGGGAACAGTGAAGGTGAAGTACCTCGGCAGCAGTGATTTTCATTCTTGCCCCGAGGACACTCAAGTCTCAGTGACATTGAATGATTCTAAGCAAGATGGAAAGATCAAGTGCCCGAAGTACGGCGAGGTGTGTACCATTGCCGGCAACGGCAGCAGTATTGTCATTCCGAGCGTATTGGATGATGATAAGCGGGACGAGCGAGGAGAGGAAAGAGAAGCGGCTGTGGTTGCTCCGGCGTTGTCTCCCGGAGCGGAAGCTCGTACAAAGGCGTCTCCTGCCGATTTGCCTGCTGCGGAGCACTCGTCTGAAGAGGGACCCAGTGAAGAAGCGTCCACTGCAGAAGCGTCTCCTCCAGGTAAAAATTCTGAAGCTCCAGTGGTGCAAGCGGCATCGAAGCAGCCTCAACAAGAAAGTGAAGCAGAACAAATGACAGCGGTGGAGGCATCTGCCACTACACAGCAAGTGCCGGCGAATTCATTGCAGGGAAGTGTGGGGTGGGCGACGGCTTCGAACATCCCTGCCGTTGGAGAAACAACAGGTGATGCCGGCACCATGCGTGGGAGCAGGGCGGTGCCGTTGCTTTTTCTTCTGTTGGGACTGTGGGGGTTTGCCGCTCTGTGAGGAGTGACTGGCTGCCGCGTGGGACAATTGCGGCCTCCCCTGCACAGAATTAGTTCCCCGGGAAAAAATTCCTGCCAATTTTTTTCTTGTTTTTTGCGCGTATTTTAATTCTTTTTTTTTTTTTTTTTTTTTTTTTTGCTTCTTTTTTTTCTTGTTTCGTTCTTCTTTTATTTCATTTTCTTTTATCTCTCACTCCCCCTATTCCTTCTTTTTTTTGATTTTGGGGGCAATCACTATGGACGCTTTTTTATTTTCTACTCTTCCCCTTTGTAATTGTTTCCTGCTGCGCTCTTCCCGTGAGGGGTGCCGTGTGTTTCCCGCCCAACTGCTCCACTCGCACACCCACCGACACGCTCATGACGACGGCCCTGTGCGCCTCGCCTGCTGCACGCATGAGGAGGGGCCGCGACGTGTGGGCGTGCGACGAGGGCCGGTGGGGCGGAGCACACATTTCTTTCCCTCCTGTTTTGTTTTCTTTGCGGCCAGGGCGGGCAGACACCCGCAGCGCCACATACACACACACAGCCACGCCCTGCCGCTCTTTAAATGAATTCTTTCGTGCTTTGCGTGTTTATTTTACGCGCCGGCATTTCTTTCGTGGCCTGTCTTGCGAGCATTTCTTTCTCCCCGATGTTTTTTTTTCTTTTGCTGCGCTCACTCTCCCGATGGAGAGACGCGACTGCCGTCATGTTTTTTCATGCTTCTCTCGCCCCCCACACACACAAGAAGAGTGACTGTGCGCTGCGGGCCGCCCTCACGCGCCGATGAAAGGGCTGAGGGGAGCAGCAACGCGCAGATGACGCCATGAAATGTAAACGATGTGCGGACACACAGAGGGTCAGACACCCGAAAGACATGTAAATATCTTTTTAATTTTCTTTTGTGGGCAAAATATATGCAGACAGTTTGGTGGGGCCACACGGCAGCCAGGCGAATTTTCTTACTTTTAAATTTGTGTGGAACAGTGATGGACGGTTTCTTTTCTAATATAATTATTTTGTGCGGTGGAGTTTGTATGGGATGAAGGGGGAGCGTTTGATTTGTTTTAAATAAATTTTCTCTGGGTTGCCACTGCTTGGGCTGCAGTGCAGTCATGAGTTTGAGCGGTCTTCTTGTTGTTGTTTCCGCCATGCACCTCCGCTGTACATTTTGGTGCGTCTCTCCGCATACTCCGCTCCCTTTTTTCTAATATTTTGCTTTGTGCTTCTGCAGGCACACACGCACACAAGATGCACATTGCAGTGGGTTTGAATGCTTCTTTTGTGGTGCATGCTGGCAGCTGCGTGTGGCGGCTGTTGTCCTCTTCCGTGGCCATGTGGAGCAGGGAGGAGGGAGGGAGTGCGCAGCCCGAGTCTCCTTTTCCGCGGGTGTGTTGCACCGCGTGTGACCGCATGGAGTGGGGCGCGGCATCCCGTTGAGGGCGGGATGGCAGTGTAAATTCATGTCGCCGCGTCGTGGATGGTTGGGGATCCGCTTCCACGTGTGGCTGGTGGTTTGGGTGTGGGCGCCTTGTGCTGGCTGCGGGGACGTGGCCATATCCGTTGGCTGTGAGAATGGGATGGAGGAGGATGAGGTTGTGGATCTCTCCTTCTTGTCCATGGTGGGTGACTGCTGGCGGTGTTTGTGTTGTGTGTGTGCGGTCTCGCAGTCTGTGGACTGTGTGGGCTGTGGCTGCCTCTTGTCATGCTGTGTGCTCTCTTTGTGCGTGTGTCCATGCTGCGCCTCCCTCTCCCTCTTGTTCTGTCTTTCACTTCCCCACTCGGTGTGCAGATCAGCGGACTGACCCCAGCAACACTAGGAAGGATGATGACTGCTGTGATGAAGGCGACTGCGCTGCGCCGTGAGGTGTGCGCCCTGTTGTCCCTCGCGCTGTTGTGCTGCTGCGCTCCTGTGTGCGTGGCGGCTGCGGCTGCGACGGGGACTGCTGTACAATCAACTGATTTGTATTCCGGTACCTCTGCCGTGAACGTGTCGGTGGAGGTCTCGTGTGCGGACAGTGAGAATAAGTTGCAATGGCGCTTCCCTGGCCAGACAACTTGGAATACGTGTGCGCTCCCACAGGGTGCTCATGACTACACTGTTGATAAGGAGAGTGGTGGAGGCTACACTGTTGATCAGAACACTGAATATAGTCTGGGTAAATCTGAACACTCTGACAGTGTTGATTTTATTATTTTTGATACGATAAGTGAGGATCCCGGCCGTGTCGGTGAGTTACTGTGCCTCTCGGCCGAACAGATTTACTCGGCTGCAAAATGTAATGAATCCTGCAAGTCCGTCGGTGTGGAAACAATCGCGTTTACGATGGAATTTCCGACGAATAACGAAAGTGGTGTGTACAAGGAGTGGGAAAAAAACAAAAGAACTAATCCTCCGAAAGACTCTGCGGTTAGCACCCCAGGCGTCTGTCCGTTAAAAACTCCTGCTGAAAGGACACCTGAGAAGGCTAACGGTGGATCTCCAGAGGCCGCTGCAGTAACGCCGGCAGCACAAGTGACAGCAGTGGAGACACCCGCAGCGGGGCAGGCTGCAGGCAGTTCGAGTTCAGCTGCGAGTGGGACCTCATCATCGGCACAGACTATTGAACAGGGGATATCCCCAGCGGACCCACAAGCCGGTAACAATTCGCAGCTGCCAACAGGCGAAGGGGTTGGCAGAACGGATGCATCCGGGACGACGCAAACACCCTCAGCCACTCCCGCCAGCGGCAATGGTGGGGCCTCCGGTGCAGCCACGGCCGGTGCTGCCTCACAGTCCGGCAAACCGACATATACGAAGGAGCCCAACAACAGTGCCACCACTGGAGCGCAGGGTCCCGGCACGTCGGACAGCAGCGCCATCGCCACTGCGTGGGTGCACACACCACTGCTGCTGCTGCTGACCGCCCTTGCATGTGCCGCTGGGCAGCGGTGCGGAGCAGCCACACACGAATGATGAAAGGTGCGACTCGTCCCCTGTATGTGTGTGTCTATTCTGCCTGACGCCCTGTGGGCAAATCCTCCACCTCAATTTAGGAAATGTTTTTGCTATGTCTTTTTTCCACTGTCTGGTTGCTGTACACCGTCGTGGATGACGAGTTCCTTCTTTTGTTTGCTTCTGCCACCCACACGCGGTGCCGGCCTCGCTGCTGTGCGTCCCACGGACTGCACAAACGAGGAGTGGAGGAGCGGGCCGGATGCCGCATGGGATGTGAGGGTTGTTGTGTGGGCTGGTGGAGGAATGCGATCTTTTCTCATGCTTCATCACTTATTTTTGTGCGGGCAATGTACGCCCACACCCATTCCCCTGTGTTTTGGGGACACGTGAAATGAAAACTTTTGCTGAGAGATGTTTCTTTTCTTTTTTTTCGCCTCCCGGGAGTTCTTCTGGACTCTCAACTTTCTTTTGTTTTCTTTTTAAATTTCTCGTTGCTTTTTCTTTATATTGTATTGCTTTTTTCTTGCAAATCATTTCCCTTCTTTTGCTTGTTGCTTTAGGGCAACCACTATGGACGGTTTTTTCTTTCCTACTTTGTAATTGTTTCCTGCTGCGCTCTTCCTGTGAGGGGTGCCGTGTGTTTCCCGCCCAACCGCTCCACTCGCACACCCACCGACACGCTCATGACGACGGCCCTGTGCGCCTCGCCTGCTGCACGCATGAGGAGGGGCCGCGACGTGTGGGCGTGCGACGAGGGCCGGTGGGGCGGAGCACACATTTCTTTCCCTCCTGTTTTGTTTTCTTTGCGGCCAGGGCGGGCAGACACCCGCAGCGCCACACACACACACACACAGCCACACCCTGCCGCTCTTCAAAGGATCCTTTCGTGCTTTGCGTGTTTATTTTGCGCGCCGGCATTTCCTTCGTGGCCTGTCTTGCGAGCATTTCTTTCTCCCCGATGTTTTTTTTTCTTTTGCTGCGCTCACTCTCCCGATGGAGAGACGCGACTGCCGTCATGTTTTTTCTTGCTTCTCTCGCCCCCCACACACACAAGAAGAGTGACTGTGCGCTGCGGGCCGCCCTCACGCGCCGATGAAAGGGCTGAGGGGAGCAGCAACGCGCAGATGACGCCATGAAATGTAAACGATGTGCGGACACACAGAGGGTCAGACACCCGAAAGACATGCAAATATCTTTTCAATTTTCTTTTGTGGGCAAAATATATGCAGACAGTTTGGTGGGGCCACACGGCAGCCAGGCGAATTTTCTTACTTTTAAATTTGTGTGGAACAGTGATGGACGGTTTCTTTTCTAATATAATTATTTTGTGCGGTGGAGTTTGTATGGGATGAAGGGGGAGCGTTTGATTTGTTTTAAATAAATTTTGTCTGGGTTGCCACTGCTTGGGCTGCAGTGCAGTCATGAGTTTGAGCGGTCTTCTTGTTGTTGTTTCCGCCATGCAACTCCGCTGTACATTTTGGTGCGTCTCTCCGCATACTCCGCTCCCTTTTTTCTAATATTTTGCTTTGTGCTTCTGCGGGCACACACACGCACACAAGATGCACATTGCAGTGGGTTTGAATGCTTCTTTTGTGGTGCATGCTGGCAGCTGCGTGTGGCGGCCGTTGTCCTCTTCCGTGGCCATGTGGAGCAGGGAGGAGGGAGGGAGTGCGCAGCCCGAGTCTCCTTTTCCGCGGGTGTGGTGCACCGCGTGTGACCGCATGGAGTGAGGCGCGGCATCCCGTTGAGGGCGGGTTGGCAGTGTAAATTCATGTCGCCGCGTCGTGGATGGTTGGGGATCCGCTTCCACGTGTGGCTGGTGGTTTGGGTGTGGGCGCCTTGTGCTGGCTGCGGGGACGTGGCCATATCCGTTGGCTCTGAGAATGGGATGGAGGAGGATGAGGTTGTGGATCTCTCCTTCTTGTCCATGGTGGGTGACTGCTGGCGGTGTGTGTGTTGTGTGTGTGCGGTCTCGCAGTCTGTGGACTGTGTGGGCTGTGGCTGCCTCTTGCCATGCTGTGTGCTCTCTTTGTGCGTGTGTCCATGCTGCGCCTCCCTCTCTCTCTCTCTCTCTCTCTCTCTCTTGTTCTGTCTTTCAGTTCCCCACTCGGTGTGCAGATCAGCGGACTGACCCCAGCAACACTAGGAAGGATGATGACTGCTGTGATGAAGGCGACTGCGCTGCGCCGTGAGGTGTGCGCCCTGTTGTCCCTCGCGCTGTTGTGCTGCTGCGCTCCTGTGTGCGTGGCGGCTGCGGCTGCGACGGGGACTGCTGTACAAATCAACTGATTTGTATTCCGGTACCTCTGCCGTGAACGTGTCGGTGGAGGTCTTGTGTGCGGAAAGTAACAAACCGTTGCAATGGCGCTTTCCCGGCCAGACAACTTGGAATACGTGTTCAAGCTCGCAGGGTGCTCATGACTACAATGTTGATCAGGAGAGTGGTGGAGGCTACACTGTTGATCAGGGGAACACTGAATATAGTCTGGGTAAATCTGAACACTCTGACAGTGTTGTTGTTATTATTTTGGATTCGGCACGTGGGGAACCCAGCCTTGTCGATGAGTCACTCTGCCTCTTCGCCGAACAGATGTACTCGGCTGCAAAATGTAATGAATCCTGCACTTCATCTAATTCGGATAAAACCGCGTTTACGATGGAATTTCCGACGAATAACGAAAGTGGTGTGTACAAGAAGTGGCTGGAATATAATAAGTCTTCTAATCCTGCTGCGGTTAGCACCTCAGGCGTTTGTTCGTTAAAAACTCCTGCTGAAAGGACACCTGAGAAGGCTAACGGTGGATCCCCAGAGGCCGCTGCAGTAACGCCGGCAGCACAAGTGACAGCAGTGGAGACACCCGCAGCGGGGCAGGCTGCAGGCAGTTCGAGTTCAGCTGCGAGTGGGACCTCATCATCGGAACAGACTATTGAACAGGGGATATCCCCAGCGGACCCACAAGCCGGTAACACTTCGCAGCTGCCAACAGGCGAAGGGGTTGGCAGAACGGATGCATCCGGGACGACGCAAACACCCTCAGCCACTCCCGCCAGCGGCAATGGTGGGGCCTCCGGTGCAGCCACGGCCGGTGCTGCCTCACAGTCCGGCAAACCGACATATACGAAGGAGCCCAACAACAGTGCCACCACTGGAGCGCAGGGTCCCGGCACGTCGGACAGCAGCGCCATCGCCACTGCGTGGGTGCACACACCACTGCTGCTGCTGCTGACCGCCCTTGCATGTGCCGCTGGGCAGCGGTGCGGAGCAGCCACACACGAATGATGAAAGGTGCGACTCGTCCCCTGTATGTGTGTGTCTATTCTGCCTGACGCCCTGTGGGCAAATCCTCCACCTCAATTTAGGAAATGTTTTTGCTATGTCTTTTTTCCACTATCTGGTTGCTGTACACCGTCGTGGATGACGAGTTCCTTCTTTTGTTTGCTTCTGCCACCCACACGCGGTGCCGGCCTCGCTGCTGTGCGTCCCACGGACTGCACAAACGAGGAGTGGAGGAGCGGGCCGGATGCCGCATGGGATGTGAGGGTTGTTGTGTGGGCTGGTGGAGGAATGCGATCTTTTCTCATGCTTCATCACTTATTTTTGTGCGGGCAATGTACGCCCACACCCATTCCCCTGTGTTTTGGGGACACGTGAAATGAAAACTTTTGCTGAGAGATGTTTCTTTTCTTTTTTTTCGCCTCCCGGGAGTTCTTCTGGACTCTCAACTTTCTTTTGTTTTCTTTTTAAATTTTTCGTTGCTTTTTCTTTATATTGTATTGCTTTTTTCTTGCAAATCATTTCCCTTCTTTTGCTTGTTGCTTTAGGGCAGCCACTATGGACGGTTTTTTCTTTCCTACTTTGTAATTGTTTCCTGCTGCGCTCTTCCTGTGAGGGGTGCCGTGTGTTTCCCGCCCAACCGCTCCACTCGCACACCCACCGACACGCTCATGACGACGGCCCTGTGCGCCTCGCCTGCTGCACGCATGAGGAGGGGCCGCGACGTGTGGGCGTGCGACAAGGGCCGGTGGGGCGGAGCACACATTTCTTTCCCTCCTGTTTTGTTTTCTTTGCGGCCAGGGCGGGCAGACACCCGCAGCGCCACACACACACACACAGCCACGCCCTGCCGCTCTTTAAATGAATTCTTTCGTGCTTTGCGTGTTTATTTTGCGCGCCGGCATTTCTTTCGGGGCCTGTCTTGCGAGCATTTCTTTCCCCCCGATGTTTTTTTTTCTTTTGCTGCGCTCACTCTCCCGATGGAGTGACGCGACTGCCGTCATGTTTTTTCTTGCTTCTCTCGCCCCCCACACACAAGAAGAGTGACTGTGCGCTGCGGGCCGCCCTCACGCGCCGATGAAAGGGCTGAGGGGAGCAGCAACGCGCAGATGACGCCATGAAATGTAAACGATGTGCGGGCACACAGAGGGTCAGACACCCGAAAGACATGTAAATATCTTTTTAATTTTCTTTTGTGAGCAAAATATATGCAGACAGTTTGGTGGGGCCACACGGCAGCCAGGCGAATTTTCTTACTTTTAAATTTGTGTGGAACAGTGATGGACGATTTCTTTTCTAATATAATTATTTTGTGCGGTGGAGTTTGTATGGGATGAAGGGGGAGCGTTTAATTTGTTTTAAATAAATTTTGTCTGGGTTGCCACTGCTTGGGCTGCAGTGCAGTCATGAGTTTGAGCGGTCTTCTTGTAGTTGTTTCCGCCATGCACCTCCGCTGTAAATTTTTTTGCGTCTCTCCGCATACTCCGCTCCCTCTTTTTTAATATTTTGCTTTGTGCTTCTGCGGGCACACACAACCACACACGCACACAAGATGCACATTGCAGTGGGTTTGAATGCTTCTTTTGTGGTGCATGCTGGCAGCTGCGTGTGGCGGCTGTTGTCTTCTCCCGTGGCCATGTGGAGAAGGGAGGAGGGAGGGAGTGCGCAGCCCGAGTTTTTTTTCCTGTGGCTGCGTTGAATTGGGCTCCGTGTTCCAGTGAGGACTGGATGGCAGTGTAAATTCATGTCGCCGCGCCATTAATGGCTGAGGGTTTGCTTGCGCCGTGTGTGTTGTGTGGTGGCCGTGGGGCTTTCGGCCACTTCCTTGGGGTTGTGGAAATGAGCGGGGGGAGATGGTGGTGGGTGCCGTCTCGTGGTGTGTGAACTGTGCTACTTGGCCTGCTGCCCTCTCTTCATTTTGTCTGCTCTCTCTCTCGCTGTATCCGCCGTGCTCTGTTTCTCTCCCTCTTGTTCCGTTCTTTTTCTTCTGTCCCACAGATCAGCTGACTGACTCCAGCGACTCCACTACGGGTGACGGTGCGGCGCCGTGTTGGTCATTGCGCTCTTGTGCTGCTGCTGCTTCTCGTCCGTGTGCGTGACGGCTGCTGGGAGTCCTGGACATGTATCTGGTGATGCGGATGCGGTGGTTGTGGCAGTGGATGTGTCGTGTCCTCCGAGTGACGGCAGCCTGAGCTATCGCGTGCGTGGGGGTGTGTGTGGGCGTGGACGAAGTCTTCTGCTGCCGGTGCTGAGGCTCAGCATGAGAATTGTACTTTCAGTGGCTTTGATGTGCGCATGCATAGTAGAAATGGTGAGCTGGGTGCTGTGTTTCATGTGGCCAATGCGGTGTACACATGTAGCAACTGTGCTGCCAGCTGTGCAACGAAAGGGGAAGGGGCCACCGTTGCCTTCACGATGAATGTGACGTCACATAAATACGCCGGCCTTTATGAATTGTGGTGGCGTCAATTTTCTTCCGACGGAACTATTCCTGTGCTTGCACGGAGCAGCGATGCTGACCAGACGGGCATCTGTCACCCACCACCCCGTGAAGGGAAGGATGAGAGAAAATCCGCTGGGACAACTGCGCCGCAAGTCAGTGCCGAGCCGTCACGTCAAAACGAGGATTGGCGACAGTCTGCCGCGGCTTACGCACCCAACACCGTCGATCCGAGTCCCGCATCCAACACGGAGACCAACACGTCTAGGAAAAAGCCTCGCATTGCAACCGATCCGAAAGAAAACGTGGCTCCAACACCACCCAAGAGGAAGCCTAGCATTGCCATGAGTCGGAACATGGAAATGGATCCGAATGCATTCGTGACGAAGACTGCACCCCGCCACCGCGTTGAGGATGTCAGTGGGCTCGAGGGATGCCCGTAAGAGTGAAGCCGTTGACGGCAGCGGCGAGCACGTTCCTGGGAAAATTGCGGGAGGAATGAATGGTCACAACGTCCCCGGAACACCAAAACGGCATCAAGAAATGTGACCCTGCGCGATCTGGAGCGGCGTGAGTCCAGACGGCCGCCTCGCCCTGTTTGACGACGTGAATTTGATACCACGCGATTCAACTGGCGACCGCACTGCGCGTGTGTGCGTGTCTCGGGCGTTGCTGCTGCTGCTGCTGGAACTGTGTGGGGTTGTGGTAGTCCTTCGAGCGAAAGAGGGTGGAATTGTGACTCCCCACGGGGGATATTTGCCGCATACTTTGCGGTTTTCATGTCACTGTTTTTTCTGTTCTTTTTTAATGATTTGCAGATCGCTTTTTAAACCTTTTTTCTTTTTTGTTACTGTTTTTCCCTTTTTTCTTCTTTGTAATGTTCTTTTTGATGCTTTTTCCTCTGGAGTGATAAGTACCCTTTTTTTCTCCTCATTATTTAATGTTCGGTTGATGTGCACTGGAATGGGCGAAGTGTTTCCCTCTCTTGTGTGTTTCTTTTTTGTTGTTGCCCACACGCGGTGCCGGCTCCGCTGCCGTGCGTCCCACGGACTGCAGGAACGGGGATTGGAGGAAGAGGCCGGATGCCGCATGAAATGTGAGGGATGTTGTGTGGGCTCGTGAAGCAGTACAATCAGTTTTTATTTTTATTTTAATTTCGTTTTCTTTGTGCAGGCAATATGTATGTACAGAAGCACAAGGCCGTTTTATTGCGCTGCTTAGCGCATGAAATAAAAATTCTGCTGAATGAATTTTCTTCATTGTTTCCGGGAGCCCTGCCGGACACTCAAATTGTTTTTTGTGTTTTTTCCTGCTTTTTTTAGCTTTCTGTTTGCGCGGCGGTGTGCGAGTTCTGCAGTCGTACCAATTCCAACTGCCTCATTGTGTGTTTGTTGCTGCTGCTATCATTTGTTACTGTGCGGTGGCGGGGAGTTAGTTTGTGCTGAAGGCTGCACGCAATTGACAGGAGTGATGATGGCGATGATGATGACTGGCCGTGTGCTGCTGGTGTGTGCCCTCTGCGTGCTGTGGTGCGGTGCCGGCGGTGTTTATGCGAGGGACCTCGACAACAAGGCACTGGGTGGCTGCATGGCGTCGGGAGTGTTGGGTATGAATACATCGTATGTGCCGAACGGATGTAATAAATACATGCCGATGCCGCCTTTGCGGTCAGCACTGCCTATCCCTGCCATACAAGCCGAAGTTCAGCAATTGACGGACGTTTCTCAGGATGACATTAAATTATCCTCAGACACTGCTCCAGAATCTGGTTCTGGAGTTGGAAGCGGAGGTTCTCCGGGCCCTGCTGCTTCTCCGACAGGTGCTGTTCCAGGTGCTGGTGTTCCTGCTGCTACTGGTCCTGCTGGTCCTGCTGCTGCTGCTGGTGGTGGTCCTACTGGTGTTACTGATCCTGCTGCTGCTGCTCCTGGTGGTGGTGGTGGTGGTCCTGCCGGTGTTACTGGTTCTTCCGGTTCCGCGGTTTCTTCTGTTGTTCCTTCTCTTCCTGCTGATTCAGAAAATAGTAAAACGGGTTGCGGAGAGGAGGCGTCGGATTGCGGAAGTCAAGAAAAGTTGGAAAAGTCAAAAGTGGAAAATCAGGATTTGGAAAAATCCAACACAGCAGAATTACCAGCGACACAAAATACGAAATCAAAAGACAATGAGGAGGACTCAACGGAAGCATCAAGTACGGAATTGCAGAATACGGAAACCCAACAAGAAACAAAACCGCCAGTAGATGAGAATGACACTACGAGCACCGATGCATCCACAGCGGTTGCCGCACAGAGTACATCGGCCGGCAGTCAAGAAGAAGCAACTGAGTCATCTTCCGATGGCAGTCATTCTCCACTTCGGGGGGAAGTATTCACTGGAACGGACACTCCCAAGAATGCTCCATCTCCGGCTGCCGCGGAAGCAGAAAAACGCCAAGGAGAAAATGTGACGAAAGATGGCGACAGCGGCAGCACCACCGCGGTCTCCCACACCACCTCCCCTCTTTTGCTTCTTGTTGCTTGTGCGGCTGCTGCTGTGGTGGTGGCCGCGTGAGAGTGAGTGAGAGAGCGCCATGCACCGCCCGCACACACACTCGTCTTTTACTCACTCTCTGTGTGTGTCCCCTTGCATGGACTCTCGCCCTCACCTCACCCCACGAGGCACACACATAATGTGCCCATTGTATATATTGCATGCACACCCATGCAGGCCCGTTGGTGCTCTCTTTTGTACCACACGCACCGCTGCCGTTCTGCCTGGCTGCATGGGCGGAGCACCGTAACTGTTTCTGTTTTTGTTTTTATTGCATTGAGTGGGCGACCTCTCTCTCTCTCTCTCTCCCTGTGTGTGTGTTTTGCTTTACGGGAGCAATGGGAGAGTGTGTGCGCTGGTCGTCCCACGCTTCGGCTTTTTGTTTTGTTTTTCATTGTTTTGTGGTTGAGTGCACCCATTCCGCGGGCTGCGTGTGTGTGTTTGTGTGTGATGATATGAGTGATTTGTGTGTGTGCTATCCGCTTCTTTTTGCTGTTGTTTTCTTATGATTCTCTTATGCCACACAGCTGCTTCGTAAGTATAGGCGCTGACGAACACACAAGCACATGCGCAGACACGCACGCACGCTGCGGATGTTCACGGCGGACACTATGGGCCCCTGTGTGTCGGCGGTTGTGGTTGCCTTTGGCCACGCTCACATCCACAGTGTTGAAACGGCCGGTGGAGAGATCAGCGGCGGACACGGTGACTTCCACGCCGTGGGCTCACAGTAACCTTTTGGACAGTGGCGGTGCGGAAGAAACGGTCATGATAATTGCAACGCCGTCACGCTTGTTTTTGAGCATCCCGAGAGAAACAGTAAAAACATATTTGCACGCATGAGTCTTTCCATTCCCGCTTCAGGGCTGCCCATCGTAATGAGGTTGCCGTGCGGTGGCGTCACCCCTATGAGCTGTTGGGATAGAAAGGGAGAGCGCTGTGCAAGTGGTGGCTGTTGCGTGGCCGGTCAGACAAATACTGCGACACCACGATGAGAGCAGACCAAACACTCCGCGTGTAGGGAGCGTTGCGGCCGATGAGGAATGCGTGCGACGGTGATGGACGTTCCCTCGACGGTGGATTGACGGTTTTCCCTTTGATGGAGTCGGTGCGCACGCGGTGCGTGTGGCTGCCTCTGTGGTCTCCTGTTGCTCCGCTGCTTGTGCCGCATCCTGACGCATCACGGGCACTAAACTGCTTTCTTATTCTCCTCCCTCTTTTTTCTTTGCCTCTCTCCTCCCACAGCCAGGCTGCACTGCTGCTGCTGCTGCTGCTTCTCACACGAAGCAAAGAAATGCAATTTCCTCAGGCCATGCGCCAGCCACGCCACGCCACGCCACGCCGCTTCTCCCATTGGTGGTGTTGCTGCTGGTGTACAGCGCCAGTCGGTGTATTGCCGCTGCTGCTCCCGCCACACAATACCGCTGTGGGTTTGACGTGATGATGAGAAGGAGCGGCCCGCTGCCGACTGCGGTGGTGCGTGAGGTGCCGCGCAAGGCACAGGGCGCGATGCAGACGTACACCGTCGCCACACAGGATGACGACAGTGACTGGAGGCCGATCCGCATCAAGGTGTTCACGGGGGATCTGGAGAGCACTAAAGCATGGAAGAAGATGTTCTGCGAAAAGGCTGGGGAAACATGCGAAACTGTCTTGGGGGAAAGGTAAGCTGTGAAGCAGGGCATATGTTTTTGCAGGAAAAGAAACAACTGTACACTCAAAAGATTATCCCCGGTGCTGTCAAACTGCACGCTGAGCGGCTAATTGTGAAACCCACTGCTGATAAAATAGAGTTTCCGAGGAATATGGTAAGCCCTTGCGAACAATTTACGATTTCTACTGAACACATGTCTGGTGGTGTGACTGACGCTGAGTTTATCATCTACGCCGCTGCTAGGCCATCAAGTGCTAAAAGCAGGGCTGTGTGGGCGGCCACATGTATCACATGGGGTGATTCTCGTCCCTCTATTGGCGCCATGAACTTTGATCCAAAGTACATGACTGACACGGCGTGGAGCGTTCGCGTTGCTGCACACGAGCTTGCACATGCTCTTGGGTTTAGCCAAGAGAAAATGGAAGAAAAGAGCATATTGAACTCTGAATACATTGTGCGTGGGATGCGGCGTAAGGCGGTGGCGGGGAATCACGTTAAGGCGAAGACGCGAGCCCACTTTGGTTGTAACTCTCTCGAGGGAATGGAGCTGGAGGACGAAGATGGCGCATCGGCAAGAAGGATCCCTCACTGGAAGGAACGCCACGCGCGGGACGAGCTGATGGCTCCCACAGTCGGTGCCGGCTAATACACGGATCTGACGATGGCGGTGCTCGCGGATATGGGGTACTACCGCGTGAATTGGAGGATGGCGGAGCCGATGAGCTGGGGCCACCGCAGTGGCTGCAACTTCCTGGAGAAGAAGTGCAGTGAAACCCAAAGACTCGCCAGCACTTATCCTCACATCTTCTGCGATGCTAATGACGATGAGACACTTCGCTGCACCTCTGACCGCCGTTACTTCGGGACGTGCACCGCAAAC